CACATACAACCTTTGACATTGTATGAAATCAGAGCAGGAAACTGTAGACTTCATTTGTGTTTGTGAGGCTTATTCCCTAAAGCTAGCCACATGGTGATGTCTTTTGAAATTGGGACATTATATTTTAGATTAGATACAACTGAGCTTGGCCTGAACCTTCTTATCATAGCATTGACTCATGTATCTTGATTATAGACATAATTGCTTGATAATTGTGGACACTGTAGCATCTCTTGGTGGTACACCTTTCTTCACTGATGACTGGGATCTGGACTGTGTCTATACAGGCTCTCAAAAGTGTTTAGGGGCACCTCCAGGAATATCACCAATAACCTTCAGTCCTAGAGCCATGTAAGTTGTCATTTTAAGCTTGAGAAGTGCTAGTTTTTTCTTGAACTTGGGTGACAAACAGTTCTTTCTAAACTGAGAATAATTATTTTTCTTGCCTAGTTGATTTGATCTTTCCTTCAAAAGGCAACCCATGAGATTGTCATTTGATAAAGCTACTAAAGAAAGATAAAAATATTTTTTAATAACTAGCTCAAGTATAGTCTTCTCTGTTTAGTTTTTAATTCAATTCCTTTTCCTTGCTGAAAGGATTGGTTTCTAATCTTACTGGTCCTTAAAGCACATTAAGATTTTACAGACTGGCATTTAAGACCATTTATAAAAAATAAAAGTATCCCTCTCTGGTTTGTTGCTGTTTTCATTGAATGTTTTGTATTTGTTTATTTTGTTTTGTTTTTGCATTTTATGTCTTATTGTAGTCATTGGCAAATTATTAGAAACTATAAAAGATTTTATACTTGTCAAGAGAGATTTTGCACACCTGAAAATCTTCCTTAAAAAAATTTGTCACATTCATCAGTTTGCCATTTGTCTTCCTGCTAAGTGGTGCGTAATGCCTTTGTATAATCAAAATTTGTTCAACTTGCCTGTTTATCTTTACGCTTTCTATGGTTTGCTGTTTGTTTATTTCAGGGCAAAGGTGAACAGCAGAGAACTCAAAGTGCCATCATTTTACTTGGATATAAAAGAATTGGGGAATTACTGGGGATGTGATGAAGGGCCAAGAAGGTGGACCTTAATTCTTGGGATCAGCTTAAAATTGTTTTCAGTTCACATTCAAACTCATATTAGTTAACTATTGTCTGATGCATGTAGTCATGGCATAAAGTACTTGCTCAAATGAGATTTTTGGTGTTAAGAGCCCCACACCATATTATCAGAGCAAATCCGGAGGAGGGGTCTGGTGGTTTGGGACTTCCCTTCCATTTTCTTCCTTGAGGATTTTTTTTCTTTAAATAGATTTTGTCATACAAGTAATGTAGTTTAAAATGCTTTTTGAGTTATTAAAACAATTTTAAGTTTAAAGAAAGATGTTTTTTGTTGTGTCACAAGTGTGGGACAAAGAAAAACTTCTGAGTCCCTATGAGGAATCGAACCTCAGACCTTCGGATTCCGCACTCTGATGCTCTACCACTGAGTCACAGGGACTCTTTGGTGAGCAAGGTCTATTATGAAGTTCGTATGACACGTGTTCTGCATACTGCTAGGATCAGCAATGTCAATAGTGTAATGTTTTTGGGACTCATAATTTTTTTTTTGTCTCATACTCGTTACAAGACGAAAAACATCTTTCTTTATTTCTTTACCAAGCTCAAAATTTACCATCTCTCTCATTTCTATCTACAATTTTAAGTTTATTTGCAGATGCCCTTTCTTGGGTTGAGATTTTTTAAATGGGCTCAATTGATATTTGTCTCACTCATTTATGCCCCTTCATTTCCTGAAACAACGAAAAATGAAAAGAGTAATTACAAAATTTCAAAGTACAGATTATTTGCTGTATTAGTGCAATTTTGAAGAAAAAGGCACAAATCATTTTATCATGGGAATCATTTTAAACTGC